TGTTGTGCGAATAAATGTAACCAAAAATAAACTGTATTGGTGCCACAGATACCTGTTAGTACAAAATGCAGACAGCAGACTGCAGACCGGATACAAAATATAGACTCAGTGCAGACTGCAGACTGCAGACTGCAGAGTGGGTATAAAATGCAGACTGAGAATCTGAAGAGTCATCTTACAACTTACCGAGCGTCACGCAATCGCTTTTCCTCGATCAGCCTTCACGATTATTTGCACTATTGTGGAAAATTCCTGGCCGATTTCTTGATGAAAATCGATCGTAATATGATTTCAAGCCTTCAATATACTCTTCTTACTTTGTGCGCGAGTTGGTTTGTGTGATGTCTGTACAGATTTTACCAACGTAATAAAAGTAGATGATGTGAATAACAGTGACGGTTAAGCAAGCTTAAAACGGCAGAAATCACCAGAAACTACAACGGCTACACAGTTCGCGACTCAATCCGGTCCAAAATTACCGCTCAATAACATCTTTTAGTGTGGATTGGCGCGAACAATACGACTTGTGTAAGCGTCTGTAAGTATTTCGAGCGTTTGCGCTATAATGCTTCAGGTGATCGTAATCCAAACACGTTGAAATACAAAACGACCGACAAAAGAGTTTTCTTAGCAAAAATCTCGTGCTCATCACGTGACCCGGACCTGTCCGTGCATGACAACGTCAATCATCATCAAGATAACACGTGATCAGCATGTGAACACCTTCACCCTCATTGGATCACAGTTAGTTGTCATTGTCATGGTGTTGAGGGCCCAATGACCACTGGGTACTATTGCGCAATTTTTCCATTTTGTGGCGGAGGAAAAACTAGACCCTGTGAGCAGGGTAACTGGGATACCTGGATGGTACTGGATCCGTGGAATCAAGTGTAGTGATACTACGCGTGGCGGACTAGTATACTGAAATAGTGAGCTCAAGTCTGGCCAAGGGCATACACCTGTCTCAAAACATAGGCATGCTATGCATACAAGAGATATTTTTTCTAGTGTGGGTGGATTACTTGAAACATTGTAAGTGGTCTACATTCTTACAAAAGGAAAGAAGATTATTAACGCCGGAAAGAATGAAAATGTCAAATTACCTCACGCACAGGTATTTTGTGGTAGATTATGTGTGTTGTGCGAATAAATGTAACCAAAAATAAACTGTATTTGTGCCACGGATACCTGTTAGTACAAAATGTAGACAGCAGACTGCAGACCGGATACAAAATATAGACTGCAGAGTGGGTACAAAATGCAGACTGAGAATCTGAAGAGTTTTTACGTCTGGTATATAATAACATGTCATCTTACAGCTTACCGAGCGTCACGCAATCGCTTTTCCGCGATTAGCCTTCACGATTATTTGCACTATTGTGGAAAATTCCTGGCCCATTTCTTGATGAAAATCGATCGTAATATAATTTCAAGCCTTCAACATAGTCTTCTTACTTTGCGCGCGAGTTGGTTGGTGTGATGTCTGTACAGGTTTTACCAATGTAATAAAAGTAGATGACGTGAATAATAGTGATGGTAAAGCAAGCTTAAAACGGCAACAATCGCCAGAAACTACAACGGATACACAGGGTATGATTAAGTTTTATTGATTTTTCGAGAAAAATCTTCATATCTCGAAATATTTATCGTTGTAAATCGACCACATTTCATTCCCTATACTATTCCTTATAACGTGTTCAAATTTTCAACGGTTCCTAGAATACTTACTCTGAGTCACACAACGCGTGACGCGTTCGTGAATTAATCGTTGGCTCTTTCTCGAAACGTGACCTTGGGTCGCCTGTGACAAGACAATTGCGTAAACAATACTTGACATAATAACATTATACACGAAAAACACGGGATTTTGGATCATGTATTTATTAAAAAAGAATATCCATACAACTACAATGAAAACAAACATAAGATTCACCTTTCTAATCGTGAAATTAATACCATTCGCACTGTTATCGTAGCTACGTTCCCTGGCATCAAGTGAATCTAACATGGCGTCTTTCTTCACTAGCAGTTTGCATCCATTTGAATTTTGTTCTTCAGTCTCACGGTAGTAGTGTTGTTCAATAGATTGCATAGAGTATATGCAGTTTGGTTTCAGATTTCAGATTTTGCTTTTTACAACGAGTTTACATTTTCAACTAAGACATTGGCACACTTGGCATACAAGACATACAAGGCTTTCAATGCTTTCATGGCTTTCAAGCGTTCGCGATTCTGTCCGATCCAATAACATCTTTTTGTGTGGATTGGCCGCGAACAATACGACTTGTGTATGCGTCTATAAGTATTTTGAGCGTTTGCCCCATAATGCTCCAGATAATCGTAATCCAATTACGTTGAAATACAAAACGACTGACAAATAGTTTTATGGGCAAAAATCTCGTGTTCATCATGTGACCCGGCCCTGTCCGTGCATGACAACGTCAATCATCATCAAGATAGCACACGTGATCAGCATGTGAACACCTCATTGGATCACAGTTAGTTGTCATGGTGTTGAGGGCCTAATGACCTCTGGGTACTATTGCGCAATTTTTCCATTTTGTGGCGGAGGAAAAAAACAAAAAAAAAAAAAAAAAAAAAGACGACAAAAAAACAAAGGCATTTTATGACTGGGCTACCCCAGGTATCCCAGTAAAAAAAAAAAAAAAAGACGACAAAAAAACAAAGGCATTTTATGACTGGGCTACCACAGGTATCCCAGTAAAAAGACGACAAAAAAACAAAGGCATTTTATGACTGGGCTACCACAGGTATCCCAGTAAAAAAGACGACAAAAAAAAAAAGGCATTTTATGACTGGGCTACCACAGGTATCCCAGTAATTAGCATTAGCAAATATGTACAGCGGTTCTTCGGAGACACTTTATAAAGCCAACATCTCGGCAAGGAGAACCAAGCCCCGATTTCTTTCGATAACATATGATATTAAACATATTGCTGCGTGTCAGTTCTGTTGAAGTGTTCATTCAAACTAATTTTTCTTTGTAGATTCTTGATGACTATGTTGAAACAGGGTTATTTCCACCTTCGCTGGTCCATGCAAGATGATGACGACATGATGGCTATTCGCTAAATTATATTTTTCTTCATGCGACTTCTGATTATCCAGAGGGAAACCTAGAAAAAAAAGATTATTTGAATCCCAATAGCCTCGCTAGGGAATCTGATGTTGATGCCAACTAACTAATAACTAAAGGTTCTTCCCCTGAATCGAGAATGCTTTTACCTAACATGAAAGAGTGTCATTGGCGGCAAATCTTCTTTTGCCGCGATGTTTCGAGAATTCAGCGGCGGATCTAGGGGAGGGGCCCGGGCCCCCTCCCTCCCCCTCCTTTTGGGTTAAAAAAAATCGCAGCAGGAAAAAAAGCCGGCAAGGCAAGCGATAAAAAACGTCCCTCCCCCCCCCAATGTCAAGGTCTGGGTCCGCCAATGTAATTGACTAGTCAAAAAAAATTTTGTGACCACAACCCGTAGAAATCTGGTTCGAGATAACTGTGTTACTGTGTATATTGTGAATATGAAAGTGATCCTCGCAGTAATGAGAATAAGGTTTTGAGAAGCGTATCTCTGGAGTTATTTTATGCGGGAGAGACAGTATACCTGAAAACGAAAAAAATAGCGCACACAGATAAAAATATTACCTTTGGTAACACAATCTAATCCGGCTTTGCCAATCCTCAAGGAGACCAAGAACACACAGATGGAGAAATGACACCTGAAAACTAACCTTTACTATCACATCGCGAACGAAAGTCATTAAAAGATATCCTAATAACAGCTTAGCTTTCAGGTCAGAAGATTTAAAAGCACAAGCGAATGGCAGGAGTCGCACAAGCCTATCAACACCTTTTAACCATCGACTGCCTTCTGCTTTCCGGTGTCACAGCGAATTTGGACCCCTTCGCAGATTTGGACCCCCTCACCAGACTTTCCTTTTAAGCATCCTTTGTATCATATTTGGTTACTAATTCTATTTGCAAGCTTTTTGTCTATGTTCTTTTCAATCGCAACACAACATCAATAAAGGTAAAAAAAAAACAACACAGCAATTTCGTTCCAATTCTACCGCATTTATTATAGCGAGTCATACATATATGTATATGCAAGAATTAGATGTGAACAAACTACTGCATTTGAACTATTGAAATTGTTACAATAAATCTTTGCTTCTTCTGATGCGAATCAACATTGACACGAAACGTCATAAAAATAGTAGACTATTGCGTCCTGTCACAAAAATAACTCAGTCTAATTTTCTAAAATAATAACATTAAACAGTTTCTGAACAAGAACGAAGAAACTACTCCTACTACAAGTCGTTCGCAAAGCCTATGATAAGTAAAAATGTTTCTATTCTGAACTATTGGAACTCTCAGCTTAATTTCAGATGCAAATCAACATTAATGTCCACGTCTTATCAAAAGTGGAAACTATTACATCGAACTCAATCTTATTTTCTAATTTTAACGATTATTAACTGATGAGAGATCCGAAATAACACCTTAACAATTACGAAGACGTCTAGAGTCTGGCGATCTGCAGACAATGCAGAGCCACTCGTCCCCCGGGGCAGTCTTAAATCCCTCGCAGCTCATGTGTAACCATTCCTCGCACAACTCGCACTGTACCATGTCGTCCCAACACTGGGGCGTTTTTTCAGTCTTCATTCCCCTGAGTGAAGCATGACTCAGAAAAGATGATAGAATCGCAATCAACCGCGATTTTTACTACAGTTCAGATTCGTATATACTTACAAGATATTTACTATCAAGGAGACTCCTGATCTCCCGGAAATTTTTGTCCGTGCATTGTGGTTTTTCATTTCTGCCATCTTACCATTCCATCCATGGAGTCTCCTAAAGAATTTTATCTCAAAAGCACGCATCTTCTGTTCACATTGAAGGTGATGGAGGGGTCAAATGATTTAAAGAATTACCTATCACGGTTCGTGTGATCACGTGTTCTTGAAAAAACGTCAATCAAGTGCCAGGGGTTTCAACGTCGTCTTCAAAGCTTGTCTTTGGCAATAGCTGGTCTTGAGGAAGGAAGAAAACGAGAATCAGCGTATAAAATGGGAATGACGAGAGGCCATTCTGTCGCTGCCATTTCTATTGGTATTCTGCAGTTGTTGTTTTCCGTTGCTTTGATCATTCCCTCTTTCGTTCTTTCGAGCTATGGCCACGGCGTCAACACATCCTCAACGCCATATTGGTGTGGGTTCCCGGTGAGTGTGAAAAGATTTCATTTCGTTTACGTGCAAATCTGTGGTGTAGTTAGAGGGTTTTCGAAATTGATTTCTGTTCTGGAAAGGGTTTTAGATGTCAGTGAAACCTGAAAATTAATTTATTTCCTCGAAACCTTCGGTTTAACCTGCGATTTCATTTTTTCCGGGTGACATTTGAGAATACGCGTCTGTCGAGCGCCCCTTAGGAACTGAGTTGTTAAAGTTTCTCACGCAAGAAGCTTCCATGGAAAGCCATTTTAGAGCGTCGAGAGACCATGACGGACATTGCAACTTAGAGCTATCATGTCTTCGAGGCAATAGGCACTTAGTCATTTGCACCCCTTTGGCTAACCAGAAAGTGTTGAAACGTCTGAAGCTATTTTTCCACCGTAGTGCTAATGCCGTCGATAATACCTTTGTAATCAAGTGGAGCTACGCCTTTTATTTCGACGATTAATGTCGCCGTTGTCCTCTAATATGTGGATCTCATCCTCATCGTTAGTGTTAAATATCAAGTCTTTTTTCAATTGATCTCTAAATAGCTTGAATTGTTTTCTATGCGTGTTTAAAATGTCGGGAAGAGGATGACGTTTCTTGCGGATTGAACATGCAAATAGTCTCCATGAAACGTTTCGTGTTCAGAATAAATGTGTAATACACACAGTGATCACATGATCCATAGACTATATACTACCAGAGTTGCTGTGCACATTCAAAATCTATATGTGAAGAAAACCATTTTGATCAAAATTACCATATGCACTTTGATACGTTTCAACTTAAATTAATTCAGACTTTGCTTATCTTTTATTTTGAATTATTTATGAATGACGTGAAATAAATCAGGATCATTGGCCAAGTGCATGTCACCAGAACGTGTAGTCAGAGAAGTTCAGACAGGTGATGTAGTGACAGTTTATGAGGAGAACAAAAAGAGAGGAGAGTGGAAAATGGCAGTAGTAGAGAGTCTTATTAGAGGAAAAGACAATGTTGTAAGGGAAGCGAACGTAAGAGTCATTGCCAAGGGTAAACCTGTGCGCATTTCTAGACCGGTTCAAAAATTGTACCCCATCGAAGTAAAAAGTGTCACTCAGGGGAATGACCAAATTGAGCAGAGGGTTCAACGTGAAAGGAATACACCTCTTAGACGCAACCCAAGCAGAACTGCTAGAAACAAACAATATGCTTGACTCGTAGGCGAGTCAAGGGGGGGAGAGTGTCGAGAACGATTTCTTTATAATTAATGATTAATCTTATAAATTGTCACACAATGTAGCGAAATACTAGACTGATCGTAACGCGAATAGGAAGATTTCGTGACATGATATTTCACAACGTTGTAAACAAAGTTCAACACTGATTTGCATGCGTACAGTGAACTAAATAAGGGAAAGAAACGTGTAATTGTGAAATTGCAACTGAAATAGGGTATATTACAGTACTTTGGGATTGGGAATTTACTGAACTCGTGATTGTGGGAAAATTACTTTATTTCGCAACTAGAACTGTAAAACGAAGTAGCACTGAATTGTAAGGGCGGATTGGTTTTAGATCGTTAGAGTGTTAGTATGTTCAGATTGTCAGGAGCGATGGAAGAAAATAAACGCGTTTAGAAAACAAAGAAGTATACAGTCCTCTTGATTCCGCGACAAAGGAGGACATGAAAATGGAATATGAGTCTAACTCAGCAAAAAGTGGAAGATTTGTTGTTCTTTGTTACACTCAATTTTCCCATTGACACCTGAAGCGCCCGTGCGGTGGACTCGCGCGAGAGACGCTTTCCCCCTACCTCCCCCACTAAGCAGAATTTTGTCTCCAAACTTTCTCTGTTGTTTGAGGATCTATAAACTTATCAGAATCCGTGTTTTGCGCAGTTATTTTGATGACTCTATGGGGTACTAGAAAGGCGTCATTTTATGCGTTCACAAGATGGAAAAAATGGCGTCCTCACGGCCGACTTTCAATATTTTCAAGTCGGATTTTCCGTTTCTTTCCGATCACTTTAGACCTTCTGGAACAGAAAGAAAAAGTAAAAATGTTATAGAATAATCCTCTTGGAAGATAATGGATATCAAAGTCTTAAGAGCGACAAATCAAACTTTCGAGCCGACAACACCACGATTCTCTGAAGCGATGCGAATTGGGGCCGTAAAGTGAAAACCGAACTTTCAGACTTCAAGTAAGGCCTAGCGACATTATGAAGATTCCAAGGCCCGGTAAATATCATGTGTGAGTAATGAGATGTCCAAAAAGTATTGTTTAATAGATGATTTGTGTCAAAACGTAGAACTTTCAGAATTTTCAACATAACGCTGCGCAATTTACCAGCCGTGAATTCAAATAAACAATGATCTAAGGAGATTAATTCTTCCTCGTGGGTTTCGTACACGTAAGAAATTCGCACGTTTTTCGCTACTAACAGATAATCAAGAACCGTTTTGAATAAAACCATCTTCCAGAAACGTTCCTCGGTCAGTTTCGTCTTGCTTCTTATTTTTAAATTCCATAAAACATGAGGTCTCTCTACACACTGATAAATTTGCATATTCACTTTGAAATTAGATTCGCACACCTGTTTACACACGTCTTTTGTCTTGATTTTAGAGTAAAAACTCAATATACATCTATTGTCTTCTTCGTTGAAAGTAAGTTATTAAATGGCCTTCTTTCACTGGAGCTTGATTTTGGGAAAAGATGATTCATATAAAAATTTACCATGCATTGTGTTTGCTTCTCCGGTTTCTCCAAAATGTTAACTTTTGGATAGGCACGCGTTAGGGTCCGTTTAAATAGTTTCAACATTTGCTTCAACATGCATTCAACGCTTTATTGAACTAAATGTTTGGTGCGTTTGAACAGGTCGTCCAACATTGTTGAAAACGTAAAAATGTTGAAAGCTTGTGGAAAGCGTGTTGAATCAAGTTTAAAATTGGTTTAAACTTTCATTCAACATCTATTCAACTTTTCCTCTGTTCTCGAAAATATTGAATGGCCCCAGATATGTGACAACTTTCTAAGAAATGCAAGAACTGGAGATCAAAATGAAATGTTTTGTAAAGGAGACTTCAAGACTCATTGTCAAGGATGACAGGATGTGCAGATCATAGGAAAAGGGTTAAACACCCTCAGGTTTTTCTAAGTACTATTTGATTCTCATCCCTTAAATTTCGATTTTTTAATCAGGAATTCTTGAAATTCTTGACATTGTTTTACAATTAGGAAACACAAGCAAAACAGCACAACTGTTGGCTGAGAACCACCAGTATTGTGCATAGACACAGCAATGATTACTCAAAATGTAACTAAAAAATCTCTACACCTGCATGTTTAAGAACAATGTTATGCCCATAACTTCTTTTACTTTTGCTGTAGTAAAAGTGACTTTTATATTTTAGTTCTTTCTCTGTGGAATTTTTGGCATTTGTGGAGGTGTTACCAAGAACCATTGTTGTGTAAGTGTTACTCTTTGCAAATATTTTGTTTTTGTGAAGCTTTTTTTGTGGTTATTCTGAAAGAAAAGCACGAAACTTTATTGTCATCTGGTGACTGAAAATTTTCAGAAAATTAAATTTCCTTACATTTTTCATATTGACTTTTTCATGTTTGTATAGTCACAATGATCTAAACATGAGGGGTTGGGGTATTTGGGAAAGTTATGCAAATCTGAGACACAGAATTCTCTGGATTCAGATGACTATTTAGTACCCTCAGATAGCCACATTCAAGAATATTTTTTTGCAAATTGTGGGACAGCTTTGTTTATAGCCTTAAAGGTATGAGAAAATGTTTTGATAAATGATTATTTTGAGAGTCAAAACAATGCTATTAATTTAAATTGTATTTTGTAATTTATTCCAGATGATTACATTTTTGGTCTTCAGCATTATTGTCACAGTCATTTCTGCATCAGCATCGCTTATTGTCACTTTAGCTCTGTCCTACTGGGATGTTGCAGTTGATCTTTCTGACTGTACCACTGTTGGAGACTCTTGCGTTTGTCCAGGTGACCAAATTTATGAAGGTATGTTAGACTCTACTATTTAATTACATTTATTTTTGTAATGGTGTAATTTTTCATTTCTCCTATATCTTCGAATGTTTCAGTAATTCAAAACAAAATCTAGCTTTTCTGAAATTCTGCATCCTGTCCTAAAATCAGAGGTGCTTTGTTAATGTCACTTTTATTATAATATTGGTGAAAATTTGCACTATTGGTGTCTCAAAGTGGTAATTAATCAAATTGTATTGTGATCTGTCCATATTTAATGATGATCAAGAAAATTTTGCACTGTTGATCATTCTCTAAATTGCAGTAGGCCACTTCTGAGTTCTCGCAGTTCGGTGATCTGGTACCAAAATTACAGGCAAGGCTAAGTGCAAAGTATAAGGAATACAGTGGCATGGTTAAGAAAATGAGCAAAAATTTCTCAAAATTCAATGTGGGAGAGTGAAAAATTACTTGTGAGAGAGGTATCCAGTAAAGTGATGGCAGCAAAGAAAAAAAAACCAGAACTGTTTGATTTATGCAAGAAAGCTGCAGCAATGAAGCAGATCAAAATTGCTTCTTCTGCCAAAGACCCCCAAAAAAAATGTAGGAGGAGAAATTAGAAGCAAGTGAGAGCAAATTTCAGGTACCAAAAATTTTTAATGTGCAGAGGTACCACTTTTCTAACATTCCAGAGTTCAGCCTTGCCTTAGTTGTTTTGATGTTTTGATGTCATCATATAACTGTTGTTTACTTCTTGCTGAATCGTAGTGAGGGCTCACTGTAGTTTGTGAAATGAACACAAAAGTTGAAAGCTGTAAATTATGAAATGAACTCAAAAACCTGTAATTCTGCAATTTGCTGATGGAAATCTGTAGTTTTACACTGCAACAACCCTTGCGAAATGGCTTTTTGGAATTCCTAGGAATTCCTAGGATTTTCCTAGGAATTCCTAGGAATTTATTCCTAGGAATTCAACTCAGAGAACCAATGACTTTCCCTGAAAAGCTGTAAATCTAAAAAATTCCTAGGAATTTCTGGGAATTTCTGGGAATTTCTGGTAATTTTTGGGAATTTTTAGGAATGTTTAAGAATTACTGGGAATTTTAAGCAAAAATTTGAGGCTAATGATATAAAATAAATACTTTCAATTTAAAAAACCCAGCTAAAACTCAAGTATTCAATGCAATTTATTTAGAGGCTTAATTAAGGCTTACATGTAAAATATTTTTGATTAATTATTAACATCAATGTGTGGTAATATTCTGATGGAATTTGATTTATTTTCCTTTTCTTGAAAACTTCATACGGATTAATCCTCATTACAGCTATTCATATAAAATTGTCCTAATCAATCATTAATTTTGGTTTGACACAAATTGTGAATAAAATCTGTTGATTCGTTTCCATAAAA